CTTCATGGTCTGTAGGCAAGGATATTGAATCTACTGAAGTAGGCCCAAAAAACTTTACGTACTGCTTCATATATGCCGTCAATTATGGTTTTTACTTCTTCCTCTTTGAATTCCACCTCAACTCTCGTCCAGTGTCCTGGATTTGTCTCTGGAGCGTCAACCAGTATTGAGGAATGCCCAAGGAACACACGAAGAAGTCCATCATCCAACTAAAGAAGGTTGTTTTTTGGAAGCTTATTCTGCTACTTTTACAAGCTTACCTCGATTCTGTAAAAAGTAGTTCGCTGCTCGAACTCGACTACAATGATTTGGGTGTCACTTCGTGAGGTACGGAATTCGAAGGTAAATGTGAATGGTACAGAGATCTCAGGAGGACGATAGATAACGAAGGACTCGTCGTCAGTGAGGGTGAGAGGTCGGCTATTAGGGGAAATCACTTCTGGAAAGACATACAGTTACGGTCTATTCGTCCTTTCCTCGTTTTCCAAAAGCTTTGGCTTTTTCTTTGAAGCTTTGGATCAAGAGCAAGCTTATTAATGGTGCGATTTGCGAAATCAAACTAGACCTTTAAGAATAGACACAACTGCATGTTGTCCTAATCCAAAAAGTTTTTTTGAAAGTTCCTCAAAAATTCATCAGTTTCTCATGCTTTGGACAAACCTCCATCGCATGGCCCCTTATGATGGCTAGAGTGGGGGCACCGACAGTTGGCACCATTCCAACGATTGACGCACTTTGCATTCGTTGCACAAATGTCTTCTCCGCAGAAATCTTTTCGTTGTTTGCAGCCTTCATGCACAGTTCCTCTTACATCCATGTCGCTCAGAGAAGAGAACTCAATCAGCTCCTTGTTGAGCGTAAGGTTGGAGATGCAGCCTAAATGATTCAGCATCGAGTTACGGAAAAAATCATTTTTCGCTTGATTGCGATAAAAAAAGCAAATTAATGAGACAGCATACGAGCCGTAAATTTTAACAAAAAACTAGAGGGCATTTCTCCCATTATTTTTCAATAAGTTTTCAATAATTGAAGACTCCTTATCCTAAACAATACAATGCCAATTTCAATACATCTACATAGCTTGTCAATCTCAAATCAAACTTTTATCTAGAAACCATCAAACATTTATGGTCAGAATATTTACAATTTGAACATTTTCATTTCTCCATCTGATAGCTTTTCATTACATATTGAGATCCTTGTGAGTCAATGACTGATTCATGGTGACCAGACTTATGTCTAAAAAACTCACCTGAGTAGCCATTTTCGACTTTTCCAGAAAGTTTGGGACGACCTCCCAAAAAGATACCATTGTAGACATCCAGAAAACGATAACAGGGGACAGAAGGATCAACGCATCTACAAAATATACATATATGTCATCATAAAGCAGTAAATATGTTCCTGTCTTTACATTTCAATGATTAGTAGCAAAATTGATTGCTTTAGCTAGAAAGCACTTCCATCAAAGAAGAGATTCATAATAGTTGGGGAGATTCCCAAAGATCGCACAATGAATAGTCGTTCTTTGTTCATACGACTATGGTCAATTCTGATTAAAATGATCTTTTTTACGAATTCCAAAGTTTTACGAAATCATTTTAATTCTCGTTCCATCTCTAGAATATCGTCATAGTAGTAATATGTATGTTAGGGTGAAGTAAAGTTTGCGTAAATTAGCAAGATATTGTCCTCCACTGCGAAGTTACTGATGTCAAACCACTGAACCCAACGAATTCTGATTTAAAATTAGAATGAATATTTGTATTGTAAGCAAGTAAATTTTGTAATTTCCCATATAGTGATATTTTCTCATATTATACGCTATGCTACATAGTTGTTTATCCCTCAATTTACTCCAAAAGGTTTTCTTCTGCATTTCCCAAAAGACAGGGATGTCGATTAATGAGGTCCGGAAACGCCTATATAGCGAGGAACCCATTCCAGAAAAATAGCAGTTAGCCAGCGGAAACCCAGAGAGTGTCCGAATGCATAAATTGGAATTGAAACCGGCATTGTGGTCATTTGATGAGTGAATTACTCGGCAAAGAAAGGAAGGATATGCATGGGCAGGCTGAGCTGAATACTATAGTTATGGACGCTCACATTATGCTGCTTATTGGCAATACTCAAAAGTACGGGTACGGTAAATATTCTGCGTATAAATGGGGAACTACTTCCAGGAAAGATCTTTTTGAGATAGCCGTGTTTGGGAAAAACGGAAAATAATTCTTGTGCCCTTACTTAGCCGGAAGATCGATTCGAGCCTGTGCAGCACATGAAGGTGAACCATGTGCATGTAGAGCGAC